TGTGTTTGGAAGAGTGTTCTGTATTTAGCTCTGTATTCACTCTGAGACCTGCAGTGGCATTAGTTTCATTTCCTTCGATCTTCTGCCCCTCTGCTGCGATTTCTGTACCTGGGTCCTCTGAGATACGCCCCATACTTCACTGAAATGAGCGACAAGGAAGGTGAGACCTCCAGCTGCTTTGCTTTTCCCTGTTCACTGGAGTCTTTCCCTGTTACCGAAGTTCTGTGCTGTTCCTTGTTTGTGTAGTTCTGTACAGTACTACAGTACCTGGAGACAGGATTGACCCGGAGACAGGGTTCTGCACTGTACCATGGATCCTTTGTTGTTCCTGGGGTTTATTCTCCGGTTTGTGGGATTCTGCACTGTACTAGTTTTTCAACTGTACCCTGTTCCTTTGCTGTTCCTTGGGTCTTCTGTTTGTGAGCTGTTGTGCAGTACTCAGGGTCTTCCAAAGTTCCCAGGGTTCTGCACTGTACCTAGGATTGTTCACTCTTCCTGAGGATTGTCTGGGGTCCTGTGCTAGGATCTTCAGCTTTTTGTGCAGTTCTGCGCTGTTCCCTGGAACTTCTGCTGTTCCCAGGGTTCTGGGTACCTGCACTACATTGTACCCAGGGATAGTCCACTGTTCCTTGGGGTTCTATGCAGTTCACTGGGGGTTCTACACAGTACCTGGGTTCACCCACTATTCCATCTTCCTCTGCTTTTCCCAGGACTCTATGTAGGGTTGGCACCTGTCCCAGATTTCCCTAGACAGCACGGATTTTGAATCATGTGTCTGGGTTTCAGACTTCCTCAAATCTGGACACATTATTTAGATCGGACTGAGCAGTCCAGCCAGTGATGTCACGCACTATAGGAGCTTCCACCAGTGATGTCACACACAATGGGGGATTCGGTCAGTGATGTCACACAGGATGGGAGCTCCTTCCTGTGATGCTGCATGCGATGGGGGCTACTTTCAGTGATGGGGGCTACTTCCGGTAACACTACACAGGATGGGGGTTATCCTTCTACATGATGCCCAAGCCTTCCCCCACCCTGGTAGTATTGCAGAAAGCTGGGTCTTGGTTGAAATGAGGTGAACAGTGCAGGATGACAATGACCCCTGTATAATGGGGAAGGTGACACTGACCCCTGTATTATGACGGAGAGAGAGTGACATTGACTCTTGTATTATGAGGGGGGGTGACAGTGTTCGGGTTTGACTCAAAGAAAACATGGCAACCCTAGTGCTTGTGCAAACCTATAGTGCGGAGAATGAGAGGGGTTTGTCTGAACAGGTCAGTTAGTGTGTACTGAACAGCGTGACAAGATTCTGGTTCCCACTGGACTGAACAGTTACATTTAGACATACAATGCAGCTGTTATAATAAGATAGTGTAGGAAAGACAATGAAATTAGAGGTTGTCGGTATATTGTCTATCCATGGGTATATCTACTGTATTTCTGTGATTTGAAATGAGCCTTTAAAATGTATCTAAAAGCAAAACCTTTTTTTTTTTTTTTAGTTTTGTATAGAGTGGAGAGGGAAAAGAACACCTGTCAGTTTTTTTGTGCTTTCTCCCCCTGTTGGGGAGATTCACCCTCTGTATTTGTCCTGTTTACTGTTTGCATCAAAATAAAATTCCAAATTTTGGGTTGACACCAGTACAGTAATAAAGGGGAAATCTTCCAATGAAGACACCTACAGTCAAGTCCATACATATTGGGACATCGACACAATTCTAACATTTTTGGCTCTATACACCACCACAATGAATTTGAAATGAAACGAACAAGATGTGTTTTTAACTGCAGACTGTCAGCTTTAATTTGAGGGTATTTACATCCAAATCAGGTGAATGGTGTAGGAATTACAACAGTTTGCATATGTGCCTTCCACTTGTTAAGGGACCAAAAGTAATGGGACAATTGGCTTCTCAGCTGTTCCATGGCCAGTGTGTGTGTTATTCCCTCATTATCCCAATTACAATGAGCAGATAAATGGTCCAGAGTTCATTTCAAGTGTGCTATTTGCATTCGGAATCTGTTGCTGTCAACTCTCAAGATGAGATCCAAAGAGCTGTCACTATCAGTGAAGCAAGCCATCATTAGGCTGAAAAAACAAAACAAACCCATCAGAGAGATAGCAAAAACATTAGGCGTGGCCAAAACAACTGTTTGGAACATTCTTAAAAAGAAGGAAAGCACCGGTGAGCTCAGCAACACCAAAAGACCCGGAAGACCACAGAAAACAACTGTGGTGGATGACTGAAGAATTCTTTCCCTGGTGAAGAAAACACCCTTCACAACAGTTGGCCAGATCAAGAACACTCTCCAGGAGGTAGGTGTATGTGTGTCAAAGTCAACAATCAAGAGAAGACTTCACCAGAGTGAATACAGAGGGTTCACCACAAGATGTAAACCATTGGTGAGCCTCAAAAACAGGAAGGCCAGATTAGAGTTTGCGAAACGACATCTAAAAAAGCCTTCACAGTTCTGGAACAACATCCTATGGACAGATGAGACCAAGATAAACTTGTACCAGAGTGATGGGAAGAGAAGAGTATGGAGAAGGAAAGGAACTGCTCATGATCCTAAGCATACCACCTCATCAGTGACGCATGGTGGTGGTAGTGTCATGACGTGGGCATGTATGGCTGCCAATGGAACTGGTTCTCTTGTATTTATTGATGATGTGACTGCTGACAAAAGCAGCAGGATGAATTCTGAAGTGTTTTGGGCAATATTATCTACTCATATTCAGCCAAATGCTTCAGAACTCATTGGACGCCACTTCACAGTGCAGATGGACAATGACCCAAATCATACTGCAAAAGCAACCAAAGAGTTTTTTAAGGGAAAGAAGTGGAATGTTATGCAATGGCCAAGTCAATCGCCTGACCTGAATCCGATTGAGAATGCATTTCACTTGCTGAAGACAAAACTGAAGGGAAAATGCCCCAAGAACAAGCAGGAACTGAAGACAATTGCAGTAGAGGCCTGGCAGAGCATCACCAGGGATGAAACCCAGCGTCTGGTGATGTCTATGCGTTCCAGACTTCAGGCTGTAATTGACTGCAAAGGATTTGCAACCAAGTATTAAAAAGTGAAAGTTTGATTTATGATTACTATTCTGTCCCATTACTTTTGGTCCCTTAACAAGTGAGAGGCACATATGCAAACTGTTGTAATTCCTACACCGTTCACCTGATTTGGATGTAAATACCCTCACATTAAAGCTGACAGTCTGCAGTTAAAGCACATTGTGTTTATTTCATTTCAAATCCATTGTGGTGGTGTATAGAGCCAAAAATGTTAGAATTGTGTCGATGTCCCAAGTTTTATGGACCTGACTGTAATTCTGGTTAACCAGGTGACATCCCAGTATTTCATCGCTTTGGAGGAATTTCCTTTCATTTCCTGTTTCAGCTATGGGACAGGAAGTGAAGGGAAATTTTACCTAAGGAACACAGATGGCAAAAACTGACATGGGTTAAAATCTTCCCTTACTTTATCCAAAATGAAAAAAAACATTTTCACTTTAGTTACATTTTAATGTAAATGTAAAGGCTGAAGGCATTCTTTGTGTGCAGCTTCCTCCACAACCCCCTAATACTTAACTGGTCCCCTCTCGATCTAGCAATGTGCACAAGAGCCTAGACTGTCCTGGGTCTCTCTCTTCTCATTGGCTGAGCCATTAACTCCTGCTGCTGTCAATTACAGCCACTGTGGAAAGAGTGGGGGTGGAGCCGAGGCCAAGCTGCAGCTCTATGCATCTTTTGCATGCAAAGTGGGGTTTAGGAGTGAGCACACACCAGTGCCCCCATAGCAAGCGGCTTGCTATTGGGGCCACTTTTCAAGGTGCAGGGTCAGGAGCACCAGCGGGGCACCCAATAAGCAGAGGATCAGAGCTGCTCTTTGCAAAAACACTGCACAGAGCAGGTAAGTATAACATGTTTTTTGTTTTTTTTTTTATGAAACCTTTAATATCACTTTATGTGAACCTGTGGCCAGGCTATAAATATGTAAGTACAGTATTTACATATTTTAACAAGCCATAAATGAACAGCAAGGGTCACAACAAAAGCATTTGGCAGCATTTGCTGTGTTGCCCAACACAGTCCCAAAACAAGGACAAGGAAAATAGCTTAATTTTGTATGGTTTCATTTTGATCCAATGAGATTCATTGGTGTGCCGGCATGCATTTTTGTGCAGTACATTGCAATGTGTTACAAGGTGCTGTGCAAAATTGCATCCTGTCCTATATTTATGTTGCTGCAGCACATGGTAAGAGCAGATGAGTAAAGTAAAAAAAAGGGTAAAAAGGGTTCTGCAATGCGTATGGAACTATTGATCCTCTAAGTTCCGAAGATAAGTAGTGAACTTCTTCAGGTCTTGTCTTTGGCTCTCCCTTATTTCTGTGCACTTGCTCTGTGTTTTCATTAGAGATATGAAGGCTGACAGGAAGCCAAGTTACTATAGGAAGGGGGGAGCAAAATGAGCATGTAATAGTAAAAGTACATCTGCTGTAAGCTTCAAGAATGAATTATTCCACAGCACCAGCAGCTACAGTTAGGGCTTGTTTTAAGGCCACATGCACACTGGACTTTTTCAGCTGCTCCTAGGGTTGCCTGGTGTTTTTCCTGTCTTTAAATGCCCCTGCATTTTAGCCTATGTATCCATGCACACATAGGCTTTTACAGGGGTTTAGAGGCAGGGGTGTTTAGAGGCAGAAAAACCCCACTGCCAATGTGTCCAGAAGCGGTGATGTTTTAGCAGAACAAAATGCTTGATGTGTGTAAACGCGTCTAAATGCACTTAAACGCTAGGCATATTTTGCACTTGATTCCTCTCACCATTGGTTGAGCTCTTCAAATTTTACAATGCTGTGGAATGGACATTTTTCTTTTATAGTTGCTGGTATATGATCAGCTTATATGCATAGGTCTTAAAACTTCTTCTACTAAAAAAAAATATATGTATACACTATATCTTTTACGATTATTTTCTTTCTCAACAGAGACTGAAAGAACTCAAACAAAGAGAATTCTCTAGAAATGTTGCATCAAAATTAAGGCGAAATGAACGAAAACAAAAGAAATATCTTCAGAGGCTCCATAGACTGAATGATCATAAGAGACAAACAAACTGGTACGTAACTAGGGTTAAAATCCCCATAAACCTGTTGCTCTTGCTGGGGGCTTGTCATGAAAATAGCTGAATGGATCAGCTCCATGTGCTCCAGATTTGTGAAAAGGCTGTAAAACTCAAGCATGGTTGCTATCAAAAATTTTCTGCAGATGTGTGCCAAAAAATAAAGACAGCTCAAACTAGTATGGGCATACCATAATATTAGCAATCAACAGGACAAAATGACAATATTAATACAATAACATTAACATTTTAGTAATAGTGTTATTTGTATTAACATTTTATATCTGAGCATTGCCCATACAGAGCAAAGCAACATGTATACTTCAATGGCAGCCATCTGCTTACAGTATATTAACCTTCCCTTTGCTTCCTTGCTGTTCTGTATGGATGGTGGGAAAGCAAATAGTAAGAGCTGGTGTTTCCAGTAATGTTGAATTTATAAGTCTTTCCTCCTATGTAATAGTGTTCGTACTTGGTAATAGGCACCCAATGCCTGCCAGGGCTCAGCCCTATGTAAGTTACAAGTCGAAACTTCCTCTATTTGCTGACAGTGATGTGAGTGAAAAGAAGGTAAGAAGTAGTTGGTGGCGCCACCATTTAAAATACCATGCAATTATTCAACGGAATACGTGTCTGTAAATAAACACCAACATTTTAAAGTCACAATATTGTTTCTTACAAGATACATAACAACACCAAATATGTGCTTGTTGAAAATACACACATAGAAATTTCCTGGGTGCCTGGAACAGTGCACAAGTAGGTTGAACTAGAGTTGAATTTGATTCTGTTGCCAAAAAAACACACACACATGTATATATATATATAATCCCTTCACTGGCTTCCACTAACCCAACATATAAAATTCAAAATACTAACCACAACATACAAAGCCATCCACAACACTGCCCCTAGCTACATCGCCAACCTCATCCACAGATACCGCCCAATTCGACCGCTCCGCTCCTCCCATGATATCCTCCTCTCTAGCTCCCTCATCACTTCCTCCCATGCTCACCTCCAGGACTTCTCCAGAGCCTCCCCAATCCTCTGGAACTCCCTACCACAGTATGTCCGGTCAGCCCCCACCCTGCCTGCCTTTAGGCGATCTTTGAAAACTCACTTCTTCAGGGAAGCCTACCCCACCTCCACCTAAGAACTGTACTTGAATCACCTCCACCAGATCATCCCCTGCAGCTATCACCTTTTGTATCACCTCCCCCTTCCTTTACTGTACTGAAATGTATTGTAATTGTACTATCTCCCTTATATTGTAAAGCGCTGCACAAACTGTTGGCGCTATATAAATCCTGTTTAATAATAATAATAATAATAATAATAATAATAATATATATATATATATATATATTTTTTTTTTTTTTCTAAAAAAGAGCCAGCTGGCAAAAGAAAAGGAACAATGCTAGTGTGTTGAATGGCTGCAGCCTCCGCTGCCAACTGTGGTTCAACCTTCGAGCTTCTATGCCACTAGTGTGTCCCTAAAACACATGTATGACATTACAGCCAGCAGATAGTTAGTTGTTCTGCATCAGCAACCCTTTAGAAAGCACTAGTAATACATGTTAAAATGAAAACTGGTCTGCTTGTCAGTAGGGCAAGGGGTAGTTGATGAGCCAAGTGTGAGTCACATGTAAAAACTACCCCTGGGGTGGGTACTTCTAGGCTATGCTAAGCACCTGTAACAGGAACACTCTGCTTCACACATATGGAGTACCTTTACTCTTGTGCCGTTTTCACCAATGCTCTGGGAAAAGACTGAGGCCGATGTGGTGGAATATTCAACCTTAAGGCTGGTCTCTACTTTTAGAGATGAATGTACACCATGTACATCTGCACCACAACTGTTCTCTAGTTAATTCTCGCATCCCTATGTAAATTTACATCTTTCCCCTGTAGCTTGCAATTAGGAGGGACACGCTAAGCCTTGTCCACAATCAGCTGTCCAGAGTTCTCCACTACTGCCTCAGTAACAGAGAGGGCCATGACGTAGTGTGGGCTCCAATATGCACTTGATTTTAACTCATGAGCTTCCGTACCTCTGTACAGGATGGGGACCTCTGTAGTGCAGATCTGCTCCCATTGCTGTGGAAGGCAGAACGCAACATAGAAAGTGTCAGCAACATCTCCCTCACTGCTAGAGGCTAGTCCACCTATAACAGGTACACACTACTGAATGACTCCAGTAACTGACTGTAGATTTCCATTGCCCATTACCCCATAGTGACACAAAACTGTAGCAGTGTGCTGGTTACTTGCATTATTCTCCTTTAAATTACATCAGACCAAGCAGAAGGCAAAGTTTCAACACTTTACTGATGGTGGCAAAATATTAGTATATATGAATCCCACAGATAAGAACAGCCCCTAATCCTAACTCACGCTTAAGTGTTGCCCCGGCATACCTGCAGAGGTAGAGTCCATAAGTAATAAGGTCCATTAGTGGAATTCCCCAATGGCTGCTGACGAAACCCAGGTTCCAGTAACCTTTTACATCATGCCAGTCTTCCAAACAGTTATAGCTACGTTACTCCAGGACCAAGGCTTAGGGCCTCTCTCTCTCCAAACCCCAGGCTATGGGCTCTAGACCACTGCCCCCTTTTATACACATAGGACTAGTGGGTCAGACTCCAGAAACCAGCCAAGTCAAAGGCCCAGAAAAAGACATTAGCCCCAACCCTCCTGTGCAGGGGAGCATCTAACAAGCTAGTTTACAACCCTCTTACATGATAATGTTTGAATCTATTGTTATTTCTAGAATATTGTAATTTTTTTTCATTTATAAATAACAAAAGCTGTGTTACTTTTTTTGCTATAATTAGCAAATATATGGCTGAAAATGTCTTTAGAATGCAAAAAAAAAATACTGAAAAAATCTTAATATTGATGGGGATTTAGATACATGAACAAGCACAAAATACACCATAGAAAGTACAAATGTAAACAAAAATATGATCAAATAAAATAATCTGAATAAGTACAGATTGATAAAATGTATTTGCTCATTCCAACACTGGTGAACTAAAGGATTATGTTTTCTAAATTGCTGTTTTTGCAATTTCTGTGCACAATGTAAATTCATTAGTCAGGATAAATATTTTAACATTCTATTCACAGAGGGTGAAATTAAAATTAAACCACTCTATTAACTGTAATTATGCCTATGTAGTTTATGTAATTACCTGTATGTCCACTTTTTACTTTTTTAAGAATCTCTATTTGCAAAAATGTAACAATAAATTACTAAGGAAATTATACATGTTGTTCATCGAAAAGAGACTTGACACCAGGTGGTCTTACAGCATTATGCCTAATCCTCATTCATATGTGGTAGCAGATCTCCTTACACTGCATATCTTACTGCCCTTGATTATAGTAATCCATAGAGTTATTATAAAATGCTTTGGACTATCTAGTGTATTATACAAGATTAAAATATTCTATACAGGGAGAGGGATTTCAGATTGGGGTGGAAGTAGTTTCCTACTGGGATACCAAATGCAGGACTGCAGGTATCCCTTAGGAAACCACTGGGATTTGGTTTCCTACGGGATACCAAATGCAGGAATCCAGCAAGGGTGACCAGATCAGTGGGTGGCACCTTAAGAAATCAGGAACCAGGCTGAGGGAAGGTACATAAATTTGGATTCATTTAGTTTATTTTATTTAGTGTTCTTTTCATTTGTGTTTTTCCTCTTTTTTGTGTGTGTGTATTTGACCATTATTTTGTGTACTGTCACTAAAATGTTTTCCTTGATTGGTATTTCTTTAAATCTTCAGATATACCTGATTAACTTGCCAATTTGCCTTTTTGTTTTTCATTCTGAGCACAACAAGCATGGAAGCTGAATCCTTCCTGCATCTCCTACGGAGATTTAGGGATGCTGTGCAGACATACAGCGTGCCGATGTGTTCTGTAGTCAGTTCAGTTGCCATGCCTTCTTGGCCAGCCCTGTTGTTGTGATTGACAGTGGATCCCAGCTGAAGCTTCACTGTTCGCTGTTCTCACTTCCTGTTATGTCTACAGGACAGAAAATGAAGGGAAATCTCCCTAACAAGAATCAGATTGGCAAAAAATCTGGCAAGGGTTTTGACCATTCCCTATTTTGCCCAAAATAAAACATGTAGTTTAAAATAATCTTTAGTATATATCTGTACTTTTAATACTGTTTATCCTTTAGGCCTTTTTCACACAGGTGCACTTAACTGTACACCTGTGTGGTGGTCATGTCTTCCCTGCATAGGATGCTCAAGTGTTCACTACGTCCCCATTCAGGCAGTCCCATTCATGTCAATTGGGACACCGTGTCTGCACTGACACAGCCACTGCTCCATATTTGACATCTGTGTGGATACTTGTCTCTGAACATAGACAGTGCGAGTTCAGGACATACACTTGCACGCACACAGATGTCAGATTTCAATTAGCAGCTGTGTCCATACAGCCAGCCAAGTGACATGGATGGGACTCTGCACACAGATAAAAGGAACACCTGTGCATTGTGTACAGGCAAACACTGCCCTCAAATGGGTGTATGCTTACCTATGCCTGTATGAACAAGGCCTTAAATGCTCCCCTTCCATCACCCTAGTAATCTCTTCAAGTATTACACTTACTTTTCCCTGGAAAATATTACTATGGAGTCTCATATGTGTCCCTATGGTTGATAGACTTTCCATAACAATAAATGGGGATTATTCTATGCATTCATAGAAGACGCACCCATCTGGGAGACTTCAGAACAAAGAGAACAGAAAGTGTTGCTGGGAAGGAAAAACATTTAAAGGATAAGTTTACTAAATGTACACTCATTGGCCACTTAATTAGGTACACCTGTTCAATTGCTTGGTAACACATATTGCTAATCAGCCAATCACATGGCAGCAGTTCAATGCATTTAGGCATCTAGACATTGTAAAGATGACTTGCTGAAGTTTGAACCAAGCAATAGGATGGGGCAGAAAGGGGAAATAAGTGACTT